TGGGCCGACCGGCTAGATTGGCAAAAAAAAGCGGCTAAAAACGGCTAAAATGTTTTAGTGAAAATTCACATGCTTTATTTAAATAAATCGCAAGAAACGAAAGACTAGTTAACACCATTAATTTATATCGAGTGTATATTCCTCATCATCAAATGAATCACTAATGTATATATCACCTGAATTCATTAATTTTAAGAGATCGTCATCTACAGTAAAATTATGGCAGCATTTTTCTTCACGTTTTAAACCGTATCTTATATATAAAATAGCGTTTAACGTTTTATCGCACATTGGATTTCTTTACTTAGTTTTTATTATATTCATTGAACTAAATATTCGCTCTACTTCTGTATTACTTATAGGCAAAACAAGAAAACTAAAAACTAGGTTGCAAAGGTCAGCGAAAGGGTTTTCTCCTAGGGCATTTCGAAATTGATAAACTTCGGCCCAAAATTTTACAGTTGAGTCTAAATTACTCCAGGTATGTAACGTTAACCGTTGCCATTGGATGTTATTTCGTCGGCATTATATTTGTGTTTTTGTTGCTGTAGTTGAACAAATACTTTTGGTTTAATTACTCTTAATGCATTTCCAACTGAAAAAAGTCAATTTTTTTAGTGTGGCAATATTTGTAGGGAGGCGTTGGCGTAATTACTTTATTAAAGTGATAATAAAATAGCGACCATTTTCTCGAATTATTTTCTCGGCTTCGTGGTCAAAAGCGTTTGTGCTTACTTTGGTTTTTAAATACTCTTCAAAACTGTGATAAAACTGAGGAAATGGAGCAAGGTATGGTTCCAACGGGGAGCATATAGGATCAAATGGGTCCGCGCTAATAACCACTAGGGAGCATAGATGCGAAAGTAAAACATTGAGTTAATTAAAAATCTTCATTGGGTCTGCATTATTGCTTTCGAACAACTTGTTTACTTTTTGCACCTGAAAATTAGGCAAATAGTAAAATCGGCTAAAAACGGCTAACTTTTTTTTACAAACCGGCTAACAAATCGGCTACCGGCTAGATCGAATTTTCTCCGGCTATTTGCTATCAAAACCGGCTAAATCTAGCCGGAAAACGGCTAAAATGGCAAC